GTCTTGCATTTCTGTTCATGATTTCCTTGATAAGAAGGTTGCTGCTCACAAGGAAGCTATTAAACCAAGACTTCCTAGTAGTATAGTTTAAATCATCACTTCGAAATAGACGCCATCACGAAGTTAGTTGACTTGGATGGAATATCTGTTTCACAGATGACGATGGATATGCCCCAAATGTCTCCACAATTCCGTCCTCTTTTCCTCAAATGTGACCTACCAAATTAGACTTATCACCGGTTTGGTACTTACATGAGCAACTCAGTGTGTGCCACTAGTGGAGCAGGATCTGCTTAACCATCAGGAGCACATAAGACCACCCCCTATTTTTGGTGGGGTTCGTGTTGTTTAGTCTTTAGTTTTCTTTGTTGAGTTTTGCATACTGTTGTTTGTCTTATGGTCTTTTCCCCTTTTTCTCACGTGGTGTTGTCAGTTTATTTTCAACTTATGAGTTTGAATAACCCTTTGATATCTTTCGCTTTTCTTCTAGAAGAAGATTCGGAAATTAATTAAACTTATGATATTATTGGTTTTTATTTCATAAATTTTTATTTATAAGAACAAACGAACAAAAAAAAACTAGCTCTTTTATTAAGCGGTTTACGTGTTTGACACCGCGACGTAAAGAAGTAAAAATATGATGTGTAAAGTTAACATCAAACAATCTATCTTTTTTTTCTGTAGCAGATACAGTAGTCCTATAAATAAGACCTTTATTTGGGGTTCATGTTTTATATTTAACGTCTATAATTTGAACTTTGCTTTATATAGGGAAGAACATGATGTCTTCTCGGAAGTCGTACACCAAAGGGTGACTGTAGAATAGAAATATGGTCTTCTATCGTCCGGCCCTCGACAAACGTTACATATAATGCCTCGTGTAGAGAGAGAGAGTGAGAGAGAGAGAGAGAGCCACGTTCTCTGCATGTTAAAGAACCCTTGCAACAATTCTTCGAAGGGTCCGTAGGTGACCAGTTGCAAGGCCACTTTTTAGCCCAATCCAATATACCCTCATTTTTCAGTGAAAGTCGAAATTTCCCCGACCTTATCTTGGATGGCCTCAATTACAAGACCTACTTATTGTATACATCTTAATTTGTTCTCGTCCTGTACATTCATAAAATATTTGCCACTGCACGTAAAACGATCAATAATCAATCAATCAATCTCGGAAGTCGTTTTTCCGGTAGCAAAATCTGAATCAAAGCACGAAAGCGCTGTAAAGGCAGTTAATTACAGGTTGTGTGTATTTTAAGTCCAGTTATATCATTATCTTGCATAGTACAGTGTACTTATCAGAGGTGGCTTTCAGTATTTAAGATTTAGAGTTCTCTAATGATATTGAATAAGTTTTATGAATGTCATATTCTGAGCACTATATGAAGGCGATTGTTCTCACTTGTTTATGAACTAGTGCATTATGTCCAGTTTGTACCTTTTTTATCTATGTTTATAGTCAAATTAGTTATCAAAGGTACCAGGATTATAATTTAATACGCCAGACGTGTGTTTCGTCTACATAAGACTCATCAGTGACGTTCAGATCAAAATAGTAACAAAGCCAAACAAGTACAAAGTTGAAGAGCATTGAGGACCCAAAATTCCAAAAAGTTGTGCCAAATACGGCTAAGGTAATCTATTCCTTGGATAAGAAAATCCTTAGTTTTTTCATTGGCAATCATAACACATCTCCTTATTTATATAATGATCTATATTCAACGACCTCAGGTACAAAAAAAATGTATGTAACTAAACTATGATGGGAAACCTTTGACTTCTTTCTTTATATAAACTTTTGATTTGGTACCATAGAACTATGTAGAGTAAATGTACATTGCAACATGTCAACTCTTTCATCTCCAAGCAAAATTATATTTCCAAGCATAAAGTAATTTATGAATGAAATAAAATGCTCCGCTGGGGCGCAGCTTGATATGACCGCAGAGGTTGAACCCTGAACAGTTGGGGCAAGTATGAACACAACATTCAAGCTTGATTCAGCACTGAATTTGGATTGTAATTAAATATTTGACACAGCATAGGTTTCTGACACAGAATGAAAGTGGTCCAAGATACTTAAAAAAATTTAATTTACCTATTCAAACCATATCATTATTTTTTGCTTTTATATATAAATCAGAAATAACCAATTTAAAATGGAAAATTTTAAAGAAAAAAAAGGAAAAAGAATCCCCCCCCAAATTTTTTGAACCCCCTTATGATTCATCACCCCAAAACTCAATCCCAGCCTTCCCTTTGTGGTATGGTACCTTGTAGTACAATTTGATAAAGATCCATACACTTACACACAAGTTATTGCCATGAAACTAGAAAAATGCTTGTTTTTTGCCCCTAATTCCTAAAATTTGGAGGCAATTACCCCCAAAATCAATCCCAGCATTCCCTTTGTGATATGGAACCATGTGATACAATGTCAGAGAGATCCATAGACTTACACACAAGTTATTGTCATGAAACTAGAAAAATGCTTGTTTTTTGCCCCTTTTTGGCCCCTAATTCCTAAAATTTGGAGGCAATTACCCCCAAAATCAATCCCAGCATTCCCTTTGTGGTATGGTACCTTGCAGTACAATTTCAGAGAGATCCATACACTTGAAAACAAGTTATTGTCTGGAAACTAGAAAAATGCTTATTTTTGGCCCCTTATTCCTAAACTTTTTGGGCAATTACCCCCAAACTCAATTCCAGCTTTCCCTTTGTGATATGGAACCTTGTAGTACAATTTCATAGAGATCCATACACTTACACACAAGTTATTGCCATGAAACTAGAAAAATGCTTGTTTTTTGCCCCTTTTTTGCCCCTAATTCCTAAAATTTGGAGGCAATTACCCCCAAATTCAATCCCAGCATTCCCTTTGTGATATGGAACCTTGTGATACAATGTCAGAGAGATCCATAGACTTGCACACAAGTTATTGTCATGAAACTAGAAAAATGCTTGTTTTTTGCCCCTTTTTGGCCCCTAATTCCTAAAATTTGGAGGCAATTACCCCCAAAAATCAATCCCAGCATTCCCTTTGTGATATGGAACCTTGTGGTAAATTGTCAGAGAGATCCATACACTTACACACAAGTTATGTCTGGAAGTTACAAAAATGCTTATTTTTGGCCCCTTTTTGGCCCCTAATTCCTTAACTGTTGGTACCATAACCCCCAAAATCAATCCCCACTTTCCTTTTCTGGTATTGAACCTCATTTTAAAATTTCATTGAGATCCATTCACTTAAACTAAAGTTAGAGTGCGAAAACTAATGTGTCTTCGGACGATGACGCCGGACGACGACAACGACGCCAACGTCATACCAATATACAACCACAAAAATTTTTTTGCGGTCGTATAAAAAGGAGTTCTTAATTAAGAAATAAACTGATTCGCTGAGCACAGCTGGATACACCCGCAGAGGTACTACCCTGAACAGCTGGGGCAAAAATGGACACAATATTCAAGCTTGATACAGGTCTGAATTTGGATTGTAATTAAATATTTGACATATTATAGTTTCTGAATAAATGTAGTCAATGAACTTGAAATCGGTTATATGAATTGAATTTATATTCAATTAAAGATTTCTTGCTGTTGTGCAATACACTGTGCTGTTGTGCAATACTTAATAAATCTGTTGCCAGACTATAAACAAATAAAGTTCAATTTCTTCTCAATGTCATATTTGAAATTTATGAAAATCAATAGGGAGATTACATCAATAGCTATAAATAATTCACCAAGGTTTCATGTGAACTGCTTAAAGCATTTTTGAGTTGTTGTCCAAAAACTGGAAAATCCCCCCTTTTTTAATGAATAAAACCCCACAACTCAGAAATGTAAAATCTAAAATTTATAAAATTCTAAAGGGAGCTTACGGATTGATAATTTAGTCTTAGATGCAAGATTTTTTTATCAGTTGTTAGTGGCTTTGAACTAGCTGTCAGTAACTGCGAGTACTCTCAGATTTGTACTTAGTGTCTTTTTGTTGTTTGGATGTACAACTACCCGACCACGTCCACTTGTATTTGTATTTATCCATCTGATGAGTTTAGCCTCTTTCAACTTATTTTTATAGTTCTTTCTTATATTGTACTGTTACACCACTGTCCCAGGTTAGGGGGAGGGTTGGGATCCCGCTAACATGTTTAAGCCCGCCACATTCTGTTTGTACATGCATGTGCCTGTCCCAAGTCAGGAGCCTATAAAAGTGTAATTCAGTGGTTGTCGTTTGTTTATGTGTTGCATATTTGTTATATTTGTTCATTTTTTTACATAAAATAGGCCGTTAGTTTTCTTGTTTGAATTGTTTTACATTAACATTTCTGGGCCTTTTATAGCTGACTGTGCGGTATGGGCTTTGCTCATTGTTGAAGGCCGTACTGTGACCTATAGCTGTTAATTTCTGTGTCATTTGGTCTCTTGTGCATGTGTGGAGAGTTGTCTCATTGGCAATCATACCACATCTTCTTTTTTATATTTACATCAACAGATATAAAAAATTCACCAAAGTCAAGGTGAGACAACAAAACTTAGTTGTAAGATCTCTGAAATTTTTTACAGGGTACGAGTTTTTCTCATTGTTGGAGATTGTACGGTGACAGTAACACCTGTAACTGCTTAAACCCATTTCTTATGCACTTTAGTTTGATAAACTCACTGAATATCATACCACATCTCCTTATTTTTATATGCATTACAATTTACATGTGCATGTAATTGTAAATATATATATATCAGAACAAAATTCATTGCGTCACTTTTATTTATGCTTCCTTTGGCACAATACAAGTTCTAAAATTACACAACATAAAACAACTAAATGTTATTTCAGATGAAAGTTTTGTTTCAGTTCCATTCATAGGATTTATTAGAATTTTGTATGTTTTGCCAAGTTTCAGTGTTTCTGTTTTTATTTGACGAAAAGGTTGCCTGAGCTCTAGGAGCTTTAGGTTTTATCACGGGATATTCTGTGCTGTCAATAATAATCCAAGTCGTAGGAAACTTTAATTTGAAGTTGGATGGTGAAAAATACCTGACTAAACCACTAGATGGCCAAGTGTTAGCCTCACACCACTGTTTGGACATAAAAACAATCCATGTATACACAATATTCTTAACACTAGATTCAATCTAGAATCTAGACAGTTCAAAGTTGGTTGTATGATGCCTCAATTTCATCAAAGTCATAAAAAAACTGATTTTCAACTGACACCCTATCAATTTGAAAATATATGTATCTCAAACAATGTGCTGCTGGACCAAGTGTGGTCAAAACAAATAAAAATTTAGTATACAACTCTAAACCGGTATAAAAATGCATGGCTGTGTCACGTGTCTTCATTTCAAAATTCTCTGCTGAAAACATAGGCATTGATGGTGTTTGCGTAATTCCATCTGTGAAGCTCAACATTAGCTCGGCAGTTGGTGGTGGACAGTCATAAATCCTTTCTGCAGTATGAATGACTTCTTCAGGAAAACCAACTTTACAATCAAAACTTTCCTCTAGATTTCTACTACAATATTCATCAAGTTTAGTTCTTTTGTTTTCACAGGAAACTGCCCTGATTTTTCTTTTTGTGGACGATTCAGTCTCTTGCTTGGTACAGGAAAATAGGCTGGGAATTGCAGTAGACTTAAGTCTCTGTATGGTGGGTTTGCGCCCTGAAAAAGGTTATAAAACATTAGTTTTTTTATAATTAAATGAACTTCCATTAGCAATGTATACTTTGTACTACCTGGCGAAATATTAACTAGATTTATTCATTACAATCTGGATAAAACTATAGCTATGTTTGCCTGATTCAATGTATGTTATGTAAATCCAAAGGACAAACAATGAGAGACTTATGCAACAAACGTACATTGTTTGTACCTAAATAACTATAATATAGATGAGAGCATGTCATTGTTTTGTTCCTGTTAACATTGTCATTGATATTTTTCAAGAAAGTCTACAACATGTATGAGGCATAGCTTATGCATTCCTGTCATTACTACATTAGCATAATTACTGCTAAAATAATTCTCAGTATGATATACCTCTTGTAAGAAATCATTATAATTGTAGCAATCACCAAAAAATCTCAAACAGATCACATTGAATCGTAATCCAAAAAATTATGACGTCTTGAATTACCCACCCCCTTTTATTCTAAAACGATAATTGCGGTTGTAAACAGACTTTGGTTTATTCGCATGGCGATTACATATATAACTATATATTTCACAAGGAAAATAGAGTTTTACCATGAATAGTTTCCTGCACGTAGTCTTTTTCAGTAAAACGTGCCTTGCAAACAACAGCTGATTGAGATGGACTCCACGATATCATCGTGTTCTCGTCCAATCTGCGTATGGGCCATGGCGTTTATCCAACTTTTCCTTCTTTTTAAGTCATTTGGAAATGCATGTCCTCCTCTTAAATGACATCCAGGTACACAACAACAAGTACTTGGCATCGTTAATTAAAAATATAACTGAAATAGTTGCACAGTGCAGAAACCAGAAGTAGAGGAACAGGATCCGCTACCACGGCGCCACCTATTCAGGAACGATAATTTGCTACTTTATATAACTGCGAAAATAACGTTAGACGGGTTTAATGCGCTTTAAATTGTATAATATAATTCATGTTCAGTCGACCTTTAATTATTATATCAACGACTGAAATGATTTATAAACATCTAGATTGCAGATAACACTCGAAATTAACCCGAGCTCTTTCCACACGGAATTCAAATAATTCTAGTTTGTCAATCGGTTGACTGCTTATGATGCAAAATACTAATACATCAAAAGTTTTTAAAACTAACAAAACACAATGATCGTTTCTCTATTTCCCAATGTAAATGAAATGAAACAAAAAACATTTTATATCGCAATAAGAAGAGGAGAGAATTCAACATTTCCGGATCTACTTGGAGTCTAATGACCCCCCACGTAGATAAGTTGGATATCGCGGAAGGAAGGATTAACCCGGCAACTAGAAAGGCATTAAAGCACTGCCTTTAAAAATGAAAATGCATTTCAGCGCCACTGAAGATGTAACGTGACGTATTTTCCGTTTATCATGAAAAGAGCCATACCACGAGTTGAATCAAACTCATGATTATGTTATTTTTTTATTTTTATTTTTACAGGTTCAACTGAAAATTTTTTAACTATAGATACGAGGACAATACTTTTTGTTTCAAAAGCACAGAAAGAAGATTGCTTTATGGACAATTGCATTGCATTGAGTAATTCAAATTACATGAAATCAATGAAGATAAAAATTCAGGTAAACAAAAACAAACCCGATCGCAGTGGTTGTTTAACAATTTGATGGAGCAAGCCAAATTTGAAAAAGTAAAAGATTCCTTACAGAGAGGGGTGTATTGGTTAGCCCGAATTCATTCATTAAAAAATATACAACATTAACAAAAGAGTGTATTACCTAAAACTCGTCTTTTTTTAAGAAGATGTTAATGCATTTCTCCTACCAATTTCGAAAGAGAACTAGACAAGACATAATAGTCACGAACTGCTTCGAGGACTACGTCGTGTTACTTTATTCTAATGACGATATATCAGTTTCTATAATGCATTTCAGTTAATGTTTCATTTCTGTTGATGAATGCAGAATAAATAAATGAGTTTATACTCAATTCTCTGTAAGAACCTTCTGACTTTTCTTTAATAACTGAATATTTGTGAAGAGATGTGAAAATTACTAACATGTGAGAAATAATTTTCTAAAAAATACAATGTACAACTTTTATCATACTATCTGTTTGACGTCTTATTACAATTATCTGTGATCAGATTTACAAGGAAGACCAAGTACAAAGTCATACTTTACTCAAACATAAGCGAGGAGGTAACTCATGTTATAACCGTTTTAATTGTCTATTTCCTATAAAACTGTAAAAATGTTCTCAATTGTCTATAAATAATAAAAAGTAAATTCACAAAAATACTCAACTCCGAGGAAAATTCAAAACCGGAAAGTCCCTAATCAAATGGCAAAATCAAATGATAAAACACATTAAACTAATGGACAACAACTGTCATATTCCTGACTTGGTACAGGCATTTTCAAATGTAGAAAATGGTGGATTGAACCTGGTTTTATAGCGCTAAACCTCAATTGTACGACAGTCGCACCAACTTCCATTATATGACAACGATGCGTGAACATAATGTTACAAATGGGGGTACAACAACAACACGAAACACACCAAAAACTTGGTTTGATTTCAGGTGCTCCAGAAGGGAAAGCAGATCCTGCTCCACATGTGGCACCCGTCGTGTTCATGTTATTACAAAGCCGCTAAATAATCTAATTCGGTAGGTCACATTCGTGAAAAGGGAACGGAATTGTAGTTACGACAGAAGGAACATATCCGATATCATCTGTATAACGGATATTCCATAACGGTCAACTACATCTGTATAACGGATATTCCATAACGGTCAACTACATCTGTATAACGGATATTCCATAACGGTCAACTAACTCGTGATTGCGTTTGTAAAATTTACGAAGTGATGATCTCAACTTCACCACTTGGAACTTTTGGTTTAAAAATGAAAAGGTCACAACTGGGAAGCTGAAATCATCTCTTTTGTCGTAAAGTTTTGTTTTCAACCGACCCTCATAGTAAATTTCTAGATATAAGTCCTAATCAATTAGCAAAATCAAAAGCTCAAACACATCAAACGAATGGATTACAACTGTCATATTCCTGACTTGGTACATGCATTTTATCATGAAGAAAGTGGTGGATTGAACCTGGTTTTATAGCGCTAAACCTCTCACTTTTATGACAGTTGCATCAAATTCCATTATATCTACAACGATGCGTGAACAAAACAGACATAATAGGTAACATTGTCAAAATATGGGTACATCAGTCATCACTGTGTCACAATCTCAAAACAAACAAACATTTAACAAAGAATCACAAAAAGCATCTATCAAATTTAACAACCACATTCATTGCTTACTTATATATGTATTTTAAATCAACCCATAAAGGATTGAAATATTTAGATTTAAAGTCATGTGACTGCATTCACATCTACTCTTAGTGTAGAGTCGCGTGTTTGACGCCAGAAAATGTAACCGACACACAGGAAGAAATATTAAATAATTTTGTCGTTCAAAGTATTTTTAAAATTATAATTTCACATGGGGAATGGTGGTATACAGGGTTGATAAATCAAAAGTTTTTGTTAGAACTAATTTCAGAAAAAGACCGAGATTTAAATTTATCAAGAAGTTCTTTAGAATTTTTAAGAATCCACATATGGTTAATTCCACTACGCGAGTAAAATAATTTTGTCGTTCAAAGTATTTTCAAAATTATAATAGAACAATAACATAATGGTATTATAATAGAACAATAACAAAATAGTGGGATCTTAAAAAGTACAGAGCCACGTCATATATACCAAAGAAACACATAATGTCACACGTACAAAACACAAGCAAAAATGAAAGATAATGCAAACACATTGACGGGATGTATAAGTATCGATCCACGTCAAATGGATATCACAGAAAACAGACCAAACAGTAAAAGTAATATTAATAATAGAGCAAAGACAAATAAAAGAACAATATAACACGTTATTAAGATGATAAGCAATGTCAGTACGCAGAATCTACACATCTAAATCATCCTGAATGGGCCTTTACATCTAAAGAAGTTTGATATTTTCTTTTTAATTTGTAGATAATATAAAAACACTGGAAAGTGACTCAACCACCTGCGATTTTACCTTTCCCATATTTCAAAAAGGACTTGTATGTGTTCTGGTTTTTCGAAGGATCTATTTTTGTCAGCAGATATTTAATTTATTTACTTCTGTTGTTTGTTTGTAGGCTTGTGTTACTTCGGAAAAGTATAGTAATTTAATGTTGTATCTGTATCATTCGTAGAGTCTATTATATCGGAAATTTGGTTGCAATTGAACATAAAATATTCAATGATATATTTCAGCTTTAGCAAATACCCCTTAATACAATGCATAATGAATGGAAGTGTTTCTCCTTCAAGAATATTTTTAGTTTTGGTGAGCAGTTTCCTTCTTTTCAATTTTGAATAGAAAATTACTCGTCGAAAGAAAATGTTATGATATTGTCGATTCACGAAATGCTGAATTGTATTGACCTTTTGTTAATCAATCGATAAAACGGGGGAAATCTAAAAGAACAACTTGCTCAAGCACCCCATACTGAAGTTAATTTATTACAAATATAGTAAATGTGCAATTGAAGGTCAACAAATTGTTCAACGATTTTCCTTTGTTATATCTAAGTCGTGTGTATGGAAGATCTTTGATAGTCCCGAGAAATCAATCTAGAAACATTTGAAGACTTACGGATTATTTACAGCTCAATATATTATATCTACTCTTGTTGTTTTTGAAAAACTGTATGTGTCATATAGATATCGTTGGACTATTGTCCAATTTTAAACTTACCCAACATTTCCGATATAAATATTTGCAAATAAACTTAACCCTTTCAAACTAGACAAAGATGATGCCACCGCTTCATTCCGGAATAATATAGTGCTTCAACAATTGAATTTAGTAAATTGAATTGGGAGATCTTCTAGGGGTTCGAAACCCCCCATTTTTTCGATATTTTATATTTTTTTGTTTTTTTTTAAACACCCCCTCTTTTTCCCCATTTTCAAAAGGGCCGGATCCGCGCCTGAATAGTGGTGATGATGTACAATTGAAAATGGTTGTTTTAAAGACAAAGTTGATGTACCCGTCGAAAAAAGTTAAGTAGTAGTCCGCCTAAGAATCAGGCAGATACCAAATAATGTTAGGAACATGAATTTGGTCAATCTGATGCATTATTTGTATATAAACAGTTATTCTCAACCACTTTCAGCTGACATAGTTAAAAAAGTGGTATATATTATAATTTGTCTATTTTAGCATGTCAGATTGTGTCCTAATGCCTTTAATAATGTACTATAAAAGTACTGAAATATATATTTTTCATTGAAGAAATACTTGAAAAAACAAATGGGAAACCTTAATATCTTTACAAATTAAGAAAATAAAGTGTCATATTTTATTAAAACAATAATTGTTTCTGTGTGTTTTTGTCTCATTAGTACACATATTGTCCTTACAAAAAGACTGGACAATGCTAAAATATAGGTTAGAGTTATCTCCCATTACCCACAATGCAATAGATTTCAACAATGGCAGCCCCCATGGGCTCCTGCTCAATTGGATTTTTTGCCTGAACAAAGTGTGGAATATCATCACTGCACCCTTCACATACAACTTTATCAAGATTAAAGGACTGCCAGAGGAATATCCAAGCTCATTTGTTGAAAGTTGGATTGAATGCAGGTGTAACAGGAGAAGCAGACGTCACATACGAGGGGGAACTTATTTCAAAAAGAGTGGGTTTGTTCACTGTTGAGAGCGACTTCAGTGTTTGTCCATATCATAGAGATTTCCTTGGAATAAACTGGAGACAAAAGGCTTTGTGCCAATATCCAATTCATGAGGGAAAGGCCAAGCCTTATCGGAG